GGAGCGAGTAGGTTTTCCTATATTTATTTCCTAGTACAGATGCGAGCGGACAAGAATTTCCTTTGATGATTAAACTTATTTGCTGTAAGAGCCAGCTGAATGTTTACTTTGGACATTTAACATCGTTGATCCTTCAACCTTTTGAAATATTACAATTTGTCCAATACTCATATTTCCGCTCAATCGAAGGGGGCGAGTTTTTCGGTCTGTACATTGGAGCGAGTAGGTTTTCCTATATTTATTTCCTAGTACAGATGCGAACGGAGAAGAATTTCCTTTGATAATGATTAAACTTATTTGCTGTAAGAGCCAGCTGATTGTTTACTTGGACATTTAACATCGTTGATCCTTCAACCTTTTGAAATATTACAATCAGTCCAATACTCATATTTCCGCTCAATCGAAGGTGGCGAGTTTTTCGATCTGTACATTGGAGTGAGTAGGTTTTCCTATATCTATTTCCTAGTACAGATGCGAACGGATAAGAATTTCCTTTGATAATTGTTAAGCTAATTTCCTGTAAAAGGCAGGGTGAATGTTTACTTTGGACATTTGTCATCGTTGTTCTTTCAACCCTTTTGAACCATTACGTCAGTCCACCATTTACAAAATTTACAAGTCATAATTATTTTTCTGATTCCATTTAATGTGTATACTTAATCTTTCAAATATTTCATTTTTCTGAGTGTACTCAAAATTTAAATTGCATTCAAATCATGTGACAAATACTGTGTATAATATTTTATAATGTTTTTATGCGTATATTTTCTGAATTTCTTTTACATACTTACGTACCTATATTTTTGAAGTCTATTACTTTGAAGTTTTTGATAGTATCCTCTTTTTGAATAGTTTATAACTTTCTTCGAGAGCACAGACTTACATTGATTTTTTGGTTCAAACTTTGATGTTTGTTCATATATTTTTGAGTGGCTTTGAACTTTGACAGTATTTTGTAGTCTGGATAGTTACATAGATTCGTTGCGATGTATGCCTTTGAGGGTCTTGTACTATCCACAGTTTCTTTAATTGAAAGTGTTTCTTCATATGCATTTTGTTTTTTCTTGAGACTTGTCTATATGCTTTCCGCCTAGTTGCAAATCTGTGCGTATTGATAAACTCTTGAAACCTCTGGCGTATAAGTAAAACTCACTTTTGATATAGTAATTTATGTCTCAGTTCAACTCAATCAGTTCAATTTGATTTGAAGTAATTGTCAATTCCTTCTTGAGATTTTTCATATATGCTTTCAGCCTTTGTGCACATTTGTGCGTATTGCTAAGTCTTGAGCTTGGTTGCGACATTGCTTTCATGTTTCGCTATAGATTTTGAAATATCTGGTGATTTTGCTTTTGCATTATTGCATTTGTTTTGATAGTCTGCTCTTATAGTTTTTTTTCCGATTTCTTATTTCTTTCAATTTCTGTCTTGACTTGAAGTAATCGCCATTCTTATAGATTCAGTATAGTAATTTTCTTCTCATACTTTACATTGGTAAATTATTATAGTTTTTCTAATCTTGTAATATTTCATATTTGAACTTAACTTTCATTTTACAATGATATGGTTATTCTCAGTGTAGACTAGTGCGCTGATGATATCAGTGATCTACATGAGAATATTCCATAGACTATAGACATTCTTGTCTAGGGCTTTGGAGTGCACCTATGGTGACCCTATAAAGTTGTCTTTCTCTCATATTTTTGCTTTAAATCAAAATTCGAATTCTTACCTATCATATTTATTTCTATTTCTTGTTCACTAGATTTTTTTTATAACTCCAATTTTGCAACTACATATATCGTAGACTTTTGCATACAATTTTTGCTTGCGGCATTACTCTCATGTATCATGATTTATTAAAATATCTTGTGATTTTCGTTTCGCTATTTTGCATTTTACATATGCTCACTTCATTTCTCAATTATTACTCATGAAAATTTTAATATTTTGCTTACTTTTGTATTTTTTGAGAATTCTTTATAAAATCATGCTCATATGGCTTTGATATTTCCTTTCACTT